AGGTAGTCACTCCAAAATAAGGTTTCCCTTTCAGCACTTACCCCAGAAATTGCAAGTCCATATTTTTCTCATTATTTATCATCATTGTTACCCTCACTATAGATGTTGTTGTTTTCTCTCACTGATCACTCTGAAAAAAATCTATCTTTGATATCGCAGATTTCACGAGCAAGCAATTATTCCCTTTTCTCAGCTCATTCTCAGTAAAACGCAAAGGTCTTACACACATCTTGTCATGCTTTCTATAATCTCTTTGTCCTTGGAGTCTGTTACAATTTTGTCAAGTTTGTGCTACTCTCAATATTCCTATGTTCTAATACTCCGATCAGGATTCTGCCTTTGGGCTTTGGGCTTTGTTATTCTTAGCCTGGGATCTTCTGTCCCAGATATTCACATAATTTATTCAATTATTTTTCTTCATATTTGCAACTCAAACCTTATTTTACCAGCAGCATGTGACTTCCTTCACAGCAATCAGAATGATTTGATGCATTTAATTGCTTATTGTCTATTTAGCCCCAACAAAATAGAAATGTGACTTTTCTTACAGTCTTCTCAGCTCTTAGGATACAGCTATTATGTAAAGCTGCGTCAAAGACAAGATGGAATAGGTGTGTTAATCTCATACAAAGTAGATTTTACTACAAGAAAAGGCATAAATCACAAAGAGGGTTATTGAATTACTGTAAAATGGTCATTCCTCTAAGAGGAGGCAACACACGCTAACCTTCATATTCCTAACAGAGAATATTATAGCACTCAAGAAGAAATGAAGTTCCACCCTCAGTACCCACCTTCTCTACCTTCTTATCACCTGTGTTCCACTAGCCCCCCTTTCATAAGGCTTTCCCACCCACAATGAGATACTTAAGTTAGTCATTCAAACCTAAAGATTTGACTAAGATTCAAATGTGAGCGACAACATGTAGGGTACTCTTCTGGGCCAGGCTTACTTCACTCCATATCATTTTTCCCAGTTCCATTTATTTATTTGAGAATTTTATCATTTCATTTGTCTATAGCTTTAATTGTTATAGGTCAAGATTTAAAATAGATTTCATATATTCTAAGACAATCATATTTCCTTGATTATTTTGTGTCAATTGATCTTCATATCTCGTTCATACTAATTATAGACAATTGGGAAAATGCACTTTGCCTTCTAAGTTACATCCAGTTTCAAAGTGTATTGAAATGTTAACTTTTAACATTCTGAAAATGGAATCCTCTGAAAGTGTACCTGGTGTATAACATTCTAGAAAAAAAATATTTCCCAAATGTTCTTTTAGAGAATAAAGTCTTTTTGGTAAGTATATATGAATGTGATGTATGTGGTGTGTGTTTGTGTATCTGTGTGCTTGTGAATATGCTTCCCAGAGACCAAGGGAAAATGTCAAATGTCCTCCTCAGCCACTCCATATTATTCTTTTGAGACAGACTCTTAATTGAACCTGGAGGTAGGTTGCCTGGCAACTAGCAAGCCGTAGCCATTCTTCTTCACCTCTGCCAGCACTGGGGCTACAGGTGTAGGTAACAGCCATCGCTTTGTATGTAGGTGCTGAGATCTGAGCCTAGCTGCATTGCTGTGCAGAAAGCATTCTCACATACTGAGCCATCTCTCCAGTAAATAAAAAATAAAGTCTTTACTTTAAAAATACAATTATAAAAGCATAATCACACATGAATCCACCATAAGGCTCCTTTAAATAGTTACTTTAGTGTGCATAAAATGTGAGCTTCTTCACACGGTAAAACAGCAACACCAGCAATAACATAAAACCAACCCAAAAGATCCTTATACTCTGCTCTTCAGGAATACAGTAATCCCACAGTGCATAGCCCATTTGTATTCATGAGGCAGAAATACATATTCATTTTATTAAAAAATCTGCCTCCAAGCTCCACTTCTTTCTTCTGATGGAAATGTAACAGAGGAAGCTCGGAGGAAGCTGCCGTTTCCCCCCCTTGTTTTGTCTGTCAAAACCTGCTCTTTCTCAGATGTTCTTTAATCAACCTATACAGCAATATTTATGCTCTATGATCTCAGCTTTCTGCCCTATTTTACACTGAAGAAGAAAGGTACCCCCACTCCAAGCTGAGAGTCAGAAACCAGGGAAGCACAGTTGCATCCTCAAACTGCTGGCTGGGTTTGGTTTCACAGATGTAAACCCAGGAGCTAGGAACCTTCAGTCTACTTTGTTATGGAGGCAAACAGCGAAGGCCAGTGAGCCCCTTGCCCTGCCTTGACTGCCTCTCGCTACTTTGTGGGTCCAATGCTGGTACCTACAGGCGATATCTGTTAATGATCACAACAGTTGTATCACGTCTAAGCAATGGCATCTCTTCACTTTTTACCTTATCTTATAGCTTTTGTGTATTTCCTGTTCCCGCCTCTGCAATGTTCCATGAGCTTTAGGGGGGGTAGTATAAGTGATTCATGTGGTGCTGGACCCATATCTGTCACGTGTTTACTGTGTTTCGGTCTGTCATGAGGACATCCACCACTCTCACTAGAAGGGGAGGCCTCTTAATCAGAGAATCCTTTTGACTTAAGTTTTTCTCTACTTAGCATGGCATTATCTATAGGACTGTTACACACTACCTTTATTAAATTGAGATATGCACCCTGTATCCTTATATTCTCCAGGACTTTTGTCATCTAGGATTGTTGGATTTTGTTCAAGGTCTTCTCTGGAGCTGAGATAAATGATCATGTGGTTTCTATCGAGTTCGTTTTTGTGGCGGATTGTGTTTCATGATTTACTCGTATTGAAATATCCCTGCATCTTTGAGATGAAACTGCCTTGTTCATAGTGGATGGTAGATGGTGTTCTAGGATTCAGTTTAGAAATATTTTGGTGAGAAATTTTGAGTCTATCTTTACCCAAGAGTTTGCCTATAATTTTTCTCTTTTTTGTTGGGTCTCTGTAGAGTTTTAGTATCAGGGTAATACTGGCTTAGTAAAAAGAATTTGGAGTTGTTCCCTTTCTATTTCACAGAATAACATGAGGAGAATTGGCATTTTTTTTCTCTGGAGATCTGGCATAATTCTCTGCTGAATGTATCTGTACCTGGGCTTCGAAAAGGATAAATTTCCAAGGGAGAAAATGAATCGGAGCAGTGGGCAAGTTTAGACGCTGGAATGACAAAGGCTACACAAGAGACGGGGCTTTTATGTGACACTGTGTGGGCTCATATGTGTGTGGCATGTTTGTATGGACATGTGTATGGATGTGGACTTGCCTGTGTATGCATGTGTAAAAGCCATGGGTTGACATCACATTGTCTGGTTGTTTTGTAGAAGAAGTCGTTGAGTCTGAAACTTATATTTCAGTAAGACTGGCTAGCCAGTAAGCCCTTAGATGGGCCTGCTCCATCTGCTGTTACTGGAATTTTTGGGACATACTGCCACCCCTGACTGTATCATGAGTCAGACCAAAGTCAGATCCTCCTGCTTGTAGACTGAGCCATCTACTCACCTCCTTGTAGACTTTTTGCCTTTCCCCTTAAAATGTGGACTTTGTCAATCATATCTGTGTGTTATATACAGTTCCACATACACCTTTGTTCATTTCTAGTCTTATCAACATCTTCTTTCTCTACCAGGGGCAATTGGTTTCAGTATTATAATGAATCACGAATTACCTTGAGGCTTGGTGAAGTGCTATGGTACCTAGGCCACAGGCTTTATCTAGTTCTAGCTGGCCTTGATGGGGGGAGTTTCCTCTTTGTCAATAGGTTTATTCAGGTGCTAATTTTGCAGCCCTGGTCTCTAAGGCTTTCACGATTTCATTCTCCTCACTCCTAACCCTGCTGTCCTACCTCTGTGCCCCAAGCTAGCCTGGGAGCCACTATGAGTCCAGAACAGCCTCCATCTCACCCCTTCAGCCTCCAGAGCACTGGAATTGTGGACATGAACCAGCGCACCTTGCTCCTTTGGCGCTACCTTAGCATTCTAGGGGAAATTCTAGCTAGATCCCGTGAAAGCACTTTCATTGTATTATTTGTCTGCTGAAAAACATTTGACGTATTTATAAGGAAAACAATTCTAATTCTTTATAGCCTAGAATTCTAGATCTGTCAAATGCACACATCTTTCTCTGACTTTCAGATTTTTTCCCCTAGCACTCAAGAAACAAACAGAGAACAATAAAGAAATTCTCCTGCTTTCTATTGTTTAATATGTTAGGTCCCTGTAGCAACTACATTTCTCTCCCTTCCATAAATCAAATGCAGTCTTTAGATCTAGCAGAGACTTCCTCATTTCATGTTAGGAGGTGGAAGCCTGCTTTATTTAGTTAGTATGAATTGTTCATTGTAAGAAGGGTCTGCTTCAAATAGACAGAGATGAACTTGAGAGTCTGCTTTGAGGAAATCCTTTAAGGACTTGCTTACATAGCTGTGAGGTGGTGTGGTCCTTTCTCTACTCCAATAAAAGATCCTAGTCATTTCAGGGAAGGGCTGAGGTGGCTGCTGTCCCTGAGAAGACAAAAGTGAAGGCCAAGAAAGTTCTCTTGTGTCCATGAGTCTTGAGGCTCTTGAAAACAAGGACCCTGCATGCAATCCCAAAGAATAACACTATATGAAGTCATGGGAGCCTAAAGTCTCCAGGCATATTAATGACCCAAAGACAACATTGATTTGGCTTGATATAACTGTAAGTACAATCTAAAATGAAGAGGGGCCCCTCCTGGAAAATTGTACTGATGCCATGGTAAGATTTGTGCCTGAAACATGATATTTAATAAATGTAATGACTAAAGCATTAAAATCAATAAAAGCATGATCAGTGTAATAAATCATATTTAATAATTTGCCATCTTGCACATATGCTCATTAGAGAAATGCTTTCACACTGGTGGTTTTGGTACTTTGCCTGTGGATGATCCTTCACTGCTTATTATAATGATTTACTGAAATGAGAACCCTATGTGGAAAGTTTTTAACGGTATCATCTGTAAACAAAAGGTTCTCATCTATTTGTGTTTTTCTTTTTTTAGGGTCAGACATTGTTCAGTGGTTAATAAAGAACTTAACTATAGAAGATCCAGGTAAATAAATTATTTTCCCATTGTTAGATTGTTTTTTCTTTGTGGTTTTGATAAATGTGCTTTTCTCAAGGCTATTTAAAATAATAATCAAGCAAATTTCATGATAATAAACATAATTAAACTCAAACTCTATGTTTAGTGTTTATACAAAGTCAATGTATGTTCAACTGAAAATAAATATTTATGTATAATTTCCACATATATAATATCTATTTTATTTAATTATGGTTATTTGTGATTTTTAGAATAGATTATATATACGTACATAAATAATTGTGCATGTAATTTGTAATTTGTAGCAAATTATTTTGAAATCATTAAATATCTCTTTGGGATACTTTATAGTAAATCTCATTAATTTATCATTTGTCTTAGTTCTTATTTTGAATAAGATTGGAAAACAATATGCTTTTTGCAGTTCTGATTTTTGGTCATGTGTATGTGTGTTTAGTGCTCACAGTGAAATCCTGAGCTCATTTACACTGGTAGGCAGGGTTAGTTCTGTGACAGACTAAATTCTTTAGCTTGAAGCAACTTTTACCAGCTTGTGTTTTGTGTCTCATGGAAAAAACCATTACACATCTCAGACATTCAATGACTGTTGGGGGAAGGGTCGCTTGTTGGTTGCTGCCCAACTAGCTTAGACTCAAAATAATCACACAGAAACTGTGTTAATTAAAATCACTGCTTGGCCCATTAGCTCTAGCTTCTTATCAGCTAACTCTTATATTAATTTAACCCATTTCTATTAATCTGTATATCACCATGTGGCTGTGGCTTACCTGGTAGAGTTCACAGCATCTGTCTCCAGTGGCTCCATCACTTCTCTCTAACTCTGCCTTCCTCCTCCCATGCTATAGGCCAAGCCAGTTTCTTTATTCATTAACCAATAAAAGCAACACATAGTCAGAAGGACCTCCCACACCAAACGACTTTTGAAAATGTGATATAAAAGCTTTCATGTGTGGCCAACTATTTACATCCCAAAAATATAAATAAGCTCTGCTATGTAGCAGAGACACTGAGAATCCAATAGCTTTCAGGGGACTGAAATTCCAGCAACAGGGTGTGGAAGAAAGTGTGGGGGATACATTGACCTGTATAACACTCTACCTACTACCTGGAATGGGAGGTTTACGTCTTTTGTTCCCCCTCTGCTGATTACTGATTACTACCTTAGAGTGACTTAAACTTGATAGATATTACACGGAGATAAAAGGATTTTTGCCATTTGTGATAGTTTAACAAAACCACTTCATCAGAAAATGTAGCCTGAATTCTGTATCCATACCCATGCTCAGTTGATACATGAACTTTGAAAATATTTCTGTAGTCGGTTCAGAGGGATTAAAAGTGTTAACTAAAGAATGGAGCCACTATCATGCAACACTGCACTGTCACTGAGAGAGGATGGACTTAGGATGAAAGCCACACTCTTGGCAAGTTCACAGTTCAGTTTTCTGCCATTGGTATGCCTGATTTGCATATCTATAGCCATTCAGAAAATGGTCCCAAATGTGCTGCTGACTTATAACTACCACCAACAACAATAATATAGATCAATGCATTAAAAATAAGTTCCAAAGAGTATTTTTCTATAACAACTTGATACTTAAAATTTCTGGTGTGGAATCCATCCTGCTGTAGTCCATGCTGACGTGAAACTTACCACACAGCCCAAGATTTCCAGTTATGTTATGACAAGCAAAACAAGATAGTGTTTTACTTGTTAGTTTATTTCTTTGAATGAATAAGTTTACCCTAGATGGAGTATAAATATAAGCCTCTCTGGTAGGTTTTCAGAAATGTAAAAAGAAGCCCTGGTGACTGTTCTGCACACAGAGCCTGCTCTCAACTAAATGTAGTTAGCGATGTAGTTGACATTAAGAAAGTTACTTTTATGGCCCCATGAATGGAGCTGTTTAGAAGGGAGATTATGTTATTATGATGTCTGGTTTACTTTGGACCTCACCAATGCCCTGAATCTGTTTAAAAATGAAAGAGAATCTAATGCCTGGTTCCTGTCTGTCTAGTGTTTTATCTGGCAGCAAAATGTTGTTTGATGGCCTTAATGGGCAATTTGAAGATCTAAATGTCAGTAATTTGTTGAAAGAAGGTTTTTTGAAAACCAGCTGAAAAATAAGACCAATTGTGTATCCAATGGCCCATGCGGAGCAAAGTGAGTTTTGTGATCTTCAAGGCTTTTCCAAGACCCAGGAGCACATATTGTTCACATTTTTTAACATTTTGTTAACCAATGCCAGAGTACCTTCCACTCCCATTCCAGCAACTTAGTATCATCAGACACTATGGCACAGTGTAATGTTCCTTTTAAAATAGAACTCCATCATCTTTAGTTAGAATTTACAATTCTTCCTAGTTTTATTGGCATGCACATATATACATTGTGTACATATATACAATAAAACCATCTTAATTACTTTTGTATTGCTGTAAAGAGACATCATGACCAAGACAACTTAAAAAATATTTAATTGGGAGCTTGTTTACAGTTTCAGAGGTTTAATCCATGACCATAATTGTAGGGAACATAGCAGCACACTGGCAGGCATGACATTGGAGCATTATCTGAGTGCTTACATCTTATCTGCAAGTTGGAAGGAGAAAGTGAGCATTTTTCCTGAAGCTGGCATAGGCTTTTTAAATCTCTAAACCCAAGTTCAGTGACACCTTTCCTTCAACAAGGCCATGTCTCCTAATCCTTTCCAAACAGTTCCAGCAACTAGGAACCGATTGTTCAAATAGATGAGCCTATGGGGGAGGGGGAAAATCCTCCACATACCAATGCAAGATTTGTCTAATATGTTGGGTTTCTTCTATATTCCAGTCTCCTTTAAAATATCATTGTAGGAAATATGTGAGAATATTATAAGATGATCTGGCTCTTTGACTTCTTCACACTTTTGTTCATTTTAAAAATAGTTTTAGTGCTCACTGCAGGCTCCGAGGAACCTTCACCTCCCTTGATGAGTGATTGATTCAATGCATTCTACTCTTGCCTCTTTCTGTTTCACTGGTTTGGTCTCAGCCTCTCAAAATGCCTTTTAGCTTTGTAGCTAATCTATAAAGCTGAACTGGGCAGATTGCTGTGGTTTTTTCTGTCTTCTTTTCCATCAACATGCACTGTTCCTCAGTAACCTAAGCCCAAGAATTCCCAAACATGTACTGTCCACGCAGTCTTGCTGACTTCTCCGTGATGGATGTTCTGTACATCTATCCAATGCTTGTTTGGGTCATCTTGCTGGAGGGCAAACTGAACACAACACAACCCAAAGTGAAGACTTACTCTTGCTCCTGTGTTCCTGGGTTCAGCTCTAGAGTTAAGTCTATGCTGTTGTACACATACATGAAGTCTGTCCAATGACTAGTCTGGGGAAAGAGAACAAAACAAAAACAAACAACAACAATAAAACCAAAGTTAATAAAAACTGCCAGATCTCAGTCTCCCCTGAGATTTTTGGTGCCTGTTACTGGTGTTTCTAGTCAGTGGTCTATTTGTTGCTTTCTTGTGGCTGCTTCTCCACATCAGCATCGTCCTTTCCTACATACTGACAGCTGTGTTTTACCCAAGCTTTGTGTGGAGCACAGCAACAGGAATGACCCACACAAGAAATCCACGCTAACATCTATCCCTAAAATAATCCTACTTCCTTTTCTATTTTCTCCTCAGTTCAAAGAAGGTAAGCCTACTTTCTTACCATTTTTGGGTCCAGGGTTCTCTGTAGCTTTCCACCAACGATAGCCCACATAGTTCTTGTACTATTAGCCTTCTGGGTTGCCAGGTTATTTGTGGGCAACAGCATGTTCTTCTCTTCTCTTAAATATAATAATCTTTGCTCATTTACCTAATAGCCTAAAATTATTCTTTAATGTTTGTTGTAATAGGAGTGCTGGGGCTGCGTCCCCAGCACCCCGGCTGCCTGCTAGCTTATGCCCCGAAATAACAACACACAAACTGTATTCATTTAAACACTGCTTGGCCCATTTCTATCTAGCCTCTTCTAGGCTAATTCTCGCATATTAATTTAGCCCATTTCTAATCATCTGTGTAGCCCACGAGGTGGCTTACCAGGGAGATTCTAGCCTACATCCATCCTGAGTCGGAGCTTCATCACGTGTGTCTCAGAGAGCAGAGCTATCACGTCTACCCGGGAGAGGGGAGCATGGCGTCTCTGCTCCAGAGCAGAGCTGTTGAGTCTGAGCTCACTTCCTCTTCCTCCAAGCATTCTGTTCTGTTTACTCCTCCCACCTATGTTTTAACCTATGAGGGCCAAGCAGTTTCTTTATTATAATTAAACAATGACCTTCCTCCATCATTTCCCCTTTTTCTGTTTAAACAAAAAAAGGAAGGCTTTAACTTAACATAGAAAATTACATATAACAAAACAGTTATCAAGTAAAAGTTACAATATTTACATCTATTTTATCTTTTTTCATAACTAAGGAAAACTATAAGTATCTATATATTCTTTAACTCCATCAAAGACTCCAGAAGGATATAATATTACCCAAGCAAACAAGAAATCCAAAACTCTAGAAATGACAGAGACATCTTGCTGCCTGGACAATCACCCAAAGCTTCTCTGTACCGTTGGGGCATCCATCTTCGGCCTTCAGGCCCATGGTATCCAGAGACATTTCCATGAAGCAGGAAAATTCAAAGTCGGTTCAGTCACTATCTGTTGTGTCCTGCAGAATGTCTTGCAGACTCCTTCATGAATCAGGAACCCCGAAAGATCATCTCACCTTTAGGCAAGTTCAGTAGTCCTCTCTCTATGGGTTCTCTGTTTCCAGTTTATGCAATAGTCCAGGCAAGAGCAGTTTCTTGCCCAAATGGCTATCAAACTCCATAAGGTGCCTCTTCGATGCCCATCTTCCTCTTGAAGTAGATTGGTGCTGCCAGGAGCAGAGTGTCTCATTTTCATGAAAAGTCCTCAGTTATTAAAACATTAAATGTCCTATTCTGTAACCTTTGAAAG